CACCACATGTAAGATACTTATCTATGTTCTACTTCTCTAAAAAGCTGCTTTGGGCAGAGATTTGCCTGGTGGTCTTTGTACTGAGCAGATCATGGTTTATCTCCCAGAAGCTAAGCAGAGCTGGTCCTGGAGGGGTTTTAGTATGTCAAATAAATGTGTCACAGGACATCCTATAGTGAAGGAGAGTCTTGTCCAGTCATAATGATCAGCAGATTGCTGAGGACATATTGTTCCTGCATGCCATGTATTGAAGATACAGACTTTTTAGTATAGGTGCACCTCACACAATTGAGTGCAAAATTTCTGTTGGTGAGACAGTTAAATAAGTTTTGCCCCATTTTACTTTTTTTGACACAGCTGTTAAGTGAATCACTGCAGTTGTTAACTGGATCTGGCTTTCTCATTGACTTTGCTTGCCACAAAAGGTGATCACATGACCCTAGGATACTGCAGTCATCATGAGTCAGTTGGCAAGCATCTGCATTTTGGTCATATAACCATGAGGTTGCTTCAACAATTGTAATTGTAAAAAAACGGTCATATGTTACTTTTTTCAGTACCACTATAACTTCGAAAGGTTACTAAATGAACTGTTGTAAGTTGAGGACTACTTATATCTAAAGCACCAGAGGAAAAAACAAGAAACAATGGTTGAAAACTGAGCAAAGAGAGAAGCAACCTGGAATTAAGGAGAAACTTCCTAACTTCCTCCATCACTGGAGATTTTAAAGAAGAGACTAGACCAGTGATGGCGAACCCTTTAGAGACCGAGTGCCCAAACTGCAACCCAAAACCCACTTATGCATCATCGGGTGCCGGGTGGGTGTGGCCCATTGGGTGGGCGTGGCTATGGTGGTAACGGCAGACTGGGTGGGACTAAAAAGTTCAATCAATCAATTCCAACTTTGCAAGATCTTTTTTTTCCGCGAGAAGTTGAAATTGACTGATTGATTGAACCTTTTTTTTTTTTTTTGTACACGGTGGCAGAGGCCTAAAGCGAAAAGGTTTTGTAAAACCCAGCTGAAGGCCTAGGACTGGGCTGACGGCACACGTGCCCACAGAGAGGGCTCTGAATATCGCCTCTGGCACCTGTGCCATAGGTTTGCCACCACTGGACTAGACAATCACTGTCTGAGATGGTATAGGTCAGGGGTAGGCAACCTCGGCTCTTTTATGACTCGTGGACTTCAACTCCCAGAATTTCTGAGCTAGCCATGCTGAGGGAAAGGGAGAGGTTTCCAAGCTGAGCCATGCTGGCTCAGGAATTCTGGGAGTTGAAGTCCACGAGTCATAAAAGAGCCAAGGTTGCCTACCCGATATAGGTTCTCCTGCTTGAGCAGGGGGCTGAACTAGAAGACCTCCAAGGTATAATAATAATAATAATAATAATAATAATAATAATAATAATACTGCTTCCATCCTGTGACGATATCTGTAATACCATCAAACATCCACATCTGCCTATCCCAGGTCCTGGGTAAGGACTCAATAGGTAGACAAAATGCCAAATCCAGTCTGAACATCTGGCTGACTGTGTGATGATCAATAATGATGATGATGATGATGTTGGAAGGGACCTTGGAGGTCATCTAGTCCAACCCCCTGCTCAGGCAGGAAACCCTATACCAGTAATGGCGAACCTTTTAGAGACTGAGTGCCCAAAACCCACCCACCCCCGCCCGCCACCCTGTGCTCCGCCTGCCCGCAGGGCCATCCATTGTCTCCACGGCCTGCCACAGCAGATCGCCCAGGTTGCCCAGCAGTGCCATGGCAGCCACACCCTCCACCCACACTTGTAGCATCATCTGCGCATGACAGAGCGTGAGGGCAGAGTCTTATCCCCACTACCTGACAGCCATATCCTTGGCTGCACTGCTCTGTGCAGGCCACGCCAAGGGACAGCTCTTCGGGTGGGCTGCTGGTGAGGAGAGGGCCGTGGAGGGAGGCAGGGCTGGGGCGATGGCACGCGTGCCATAAGTTCACCACCACTGCCCTATACCATTTTGGACAAATGGAAGTCTTCTTAAAAACTTCCAGTGTTGGAGCATTCAAAACTTCTGGAGACAGGTTGTTCCACTGATTAATTGTTCTAATTGTCGGGAAGTTTATTCTTATTCCTATTCCATTCTATTCTATTCTGTTCTGTTGCAAGACAGAGTATAAAAGATCATCAAAGACTCTGAGTCCCAAATGTGTTACAAAATAATGTTGCAGACTGGCTAAAAAACTGTAACAAAGAAAGCCTTTCAGAACTAATAATATGGCTTGTCGATGTTGTTTTTCTGACCACAGCATACAAGTCACAGCTACTAGCTAAAATGTCAGTCAGAGGAAACCTCTTAGTACACCTGTATGCCCCTCACTGCCACATATGAGTTTCAGAGCCATCCCTTTATCAGAAGCTGTTCTATGATGCAGGCCTTCCAGTTCATTTAACTGCTCCACATTGCAGAATCCTCTTCTGTCCTGACATTTCATCACCCCAACCCCTCATCATTTCAGAGCTGCAAGTAGTGCTGTTCGTTCAGATTTGCTTAATTAATTGGCCGGTGAGACCAATACATTTATATCTGGAATGGCAAAAGTAGCAAATAATTCTTCCATTACTTGTTTAATATTAAGTTATATCTGATTGGATGACAAGAAAGTATTAAAATTATAAAAAAAAAGTTAAAAGAATGGAAATGGGATGAGATGCCGAGAGAGAGAAAAAAAGCGTACTGACTTGGGAACCCGGACGACATATTCAGTTACTCCCTGGTTGCTGGTCCCCTAGGAAAGAGAAAGGAAAGAAACTACATAAATACAAGAGGAAGCAGATAAAGTGGCTGGCCAAGTTACTTCAGTGCATGTCAGTAGGACTGATACATGGGTATTAGAAAGTTTAGCATTCTGAGTATAAGATATGTGGTTATTTAATCAATATATTCTGTCCTATAGAAAGTAAACAGCATCTTCACTGCATGGAAGATCCTGATTCAAAAATATATTCCCATCCCAACAACAAGCCCACCCACTTATCAATGACTAAGACTGACCTGATGGTAGGTTTTGACAATCTCAGAAATGCATGGAAGGAGAAACAGAGTTGTGCCAAGGAAGGTCTGGGGCCCACCCCATAGACAATAGATTTGGATTCATCATGAAATACTATTTACTTATTTATTTGTATCCCACATTTATTATTATTTACAAATAACTCAAAGTGGTGAACATATCCAACACATCTTCCTCCTCTCCTATTTTCTCCACATCAACAATATAAGAAAATGAAGGCTGCCATCAAATCAAGAAATCAAAACAACCTCTTTTACACACACACACACACACACACACACACACAGAGAGAGAGAGAGAGAGAGAGAGAGAGAGAGAGAGAGATTTTTCTTTTCTTTCAGCACCCAGTTCATTATCTATGATAAAACAAATAAAACAAATAAAAACAACAAATAACAGGAATCACATAGACAGCTGCTTCTTACCTCCCAAGACATATCAGATAGATGGGTAAAAGATTTGCTCAGTTTCCCTGTCCTAATGTCCTCCAGATGCTTTGAGCAATGTTCCCCATAATTTCTCAATAAAATGGTCAAATGCTGAGGATCAGGGGCACTGCAGTAAAAAAATCTGAGGACAACTGGCTGTGGAAGGCTAAAGCCAGATGAAGTTCCAAGTGGAATTTTGGACAGTGGCATTCTAATTATGAGTGGCCTATTTGGCTTCTCAAATAGCCTCAAATGTAGTTTAGCCATATCTGACTCTTGAAAATAACTCACCAAAGAAGTCATTTCTGATGTCTGAACTGGTATTCAACCACGTTTCTGCAATGGCAGATTCTATAGAAGAAAAGGGAGGCACAGTCAATTTCATAAAAGCTTAGGAGAACAAGTTAGCTGCAGTATGAGGGAAATGCCAAGTGAGCGAGAAAAGCCAAAGGATGCATTAGCTGAGAGCCCCTTTAAATAGAGGCCGACTGCGTTCACGCACAAAAAAGCTCTGAAAAAAAAAAAGCAAAGCAGCACAGAGCTGCTGGTTTTTCTTTTTTTCCTCAAAGGCTACATATGGCAGATGGCCGGTGATCATTTGTAGGAAGCTTCTTGCACTGAAAGATAACATCTCTGTTTTTCTTTTTAAGGAACATTTTGTTAGGAAGCAGATAACTTAAAATAAGTTATACGAACCAAACCCAGCTCTGGGACACCCCTTCCTCTCCTTTCTGGCTAAGATCTTTCCTCCTGAGAGGAGCTGGGAACTATGATGCCAAAACCTAGCTGGCAATTACAGGAAGGTGAGCAAGAGAAGTTGTGGAGACCTCCGAGCCGGGACGCCTAAGCCCCAGCTAAGCCGGCTCGATGCCGGAGCGGCTAGAGACAGAAAGCGGGCACTGGAAGGATGATGGGATCCATCCCAGAGGGGAAAAGACATCCAGGATTCAGAATGTCTCGCTCGATCGGCAAGGTGATGGCAGCCGAGGACAGTTTTGGCCGGGTTCTTTTTCCCAGCAGCAACCTTCCCTTCTCTTCTCCGCGGCTCCCTCGTTCTCACCTAAACAGTGTCAGCCAGATCCTCAAACTCGCATGCGCAAACCCTGGCGGCCGCTGAAAAGGAAGTAGACGTTGTGGTTGTTAATAAACTTCCGGCATCGCATCGTGGTTACGGTACTAGCCTGCCTGTGAGAAGCTCAAAAGGCTGGCTGAGTTATTTTCGTTTTGATAATGGTCTGCGGAGACCCACTGTTAAAGCGACTGTCAGCGAAGCTAGCCAAGGGAGGGTCTACCGAGGTCTGACACGCCAGGGAGCAAACAGACCTATGGCGGGCAGGGAGAACGCAAGGATTAGAAAAAGCGTCTCTTTCCCGTCCTTTGCGAAAGAAACGTGCTGGGTAGGCGCGTCAGTCCCTTTAAGGGCGGTGAGAAAGGCGAGGACGCGGAAACACAAGGGGCGAGGCTACAAGGCTCAGGTTTCTCCAGGTGAAGCCCGAGCTATTGCAGGTAGTACCTGGACCGGAAGCTGGAGACGGCGCTGCGCTGCCCAGCCTGGTTTACGAAAGGACTAGACTGCATTGTTGTTATATGTTCGGCAAGTTGAGCCAGAAGTGCAGAAAATGTATCCCTTTGGATTTTCTGGACCCCTCCAGTCATATCCAGCTTTCTGGATACTTGGCCAGAACAGTGCGAGAAAATGGCTCTGGCCCGGTTGGGAAGAAAGTTTGGCTTGCAAAGCGGCTCCTAAGAACTGGCGGCTCCGGAAAGATCAGATCCGATTAAAGAAAAAGTGGGAAATGGCAGAGCCTTCTCTTTGGAAGGGACGTTGATTGGGAATCCCTATACTTCTCGGGCAGAAGTCAGAGATACTGCGCCAAAGGAACCTTGGCATTCTTAAATCACTATAGTTACCAAGATGAGCTTGTTGCAAGATGGTGTTTGGTGGGAGAATGTAAACATAAGGGTTAAAGGGAGAATGTAAACATAAGGGTTAAAGTCAAAGAAATGCCGTGTGAGTCTTCACAGCTTTCAAAGAAAACTTTCATGTCAGATTGATATTAAACAGCCTCCCCAGGAATGCAACCTAGGTTTAAGGAGCTTCAAGTCAATGTTGATTCTCAGTCTTCGCAGTTTGCAGTGGTTTGATCTTGCCCTCTTCCTAGAGCTGAGAGTGACTGTCCCAAGGTTGCCCAGCTTGGCTTTATGCCCAAGGCATAACTCACGGTCTCCTTTTCTAGCCTAGTGTAAGAGGAAGGGCCTCTTAAATAAATACCACGGGGTGGCATTCAATCCTTGCTTCTAACACTATTTCTTTTAACGTGGTCTTTTCTTGTAACGTGTTTTGGCTAACAGTGTAATTGAGATTTTATACAAAGGTTTTCAGATCAGCCACACAGTTCATTTACGGTTCGCTTTAGAGAACGAGAACCTGCAGTTTTGCCCATTCTACGTAAACACTCCTTCTGATTTATTTCTGCTTCCACTCTGCTCTTGTTCCCTGGGGGCTTGCAGCTTAACCTGAAGTTGCAGTTTTCCGGTTTGAAAGGAAAATCTCTTTGGTTTCCACCTATTGCCGGAGTATGAGCGGAAACGCCTGTTCTTTTCAGCGGAAGTTGCGGGGTGGGTCTTATGAACTCTGAGTTAGCGTGCGGTAGCTTCGTTTGGCAAGCAGGGTGGGGAGATGGGAAAGAGTAATTTAATGTATTTAAAATGGCGTTGTAATTTCATGCTTTGCAATAGGAATTCATGAAGAACAGCTCCCTTTCAAAGGAGCATAGGGGGTGAATAGACATGTTTAGACTCCACTGAATCTGATCTATTCAATGCCAGTAGAGAATTGAACTCGGGGCTTACATTTTAACTATTACACCATCCAGGCTTCTAGATATATCTCCTAATCTGTTACAGACATATACAAAATAGTTCATATATAAGTACTGGTGGGACCAGAAAATAGACGGTAATAGAAAATGAAGCTAAAGTGCTCTGTGATTTCAAACAGATAAGCACACACAACATCTCGGATTTAACTGTTCAAGGCAAAAAAAAAAAAACCTGTACTGTATAGTGGTGTGGTACTACCTGTGGACAGCATGTAGTGCAGGAACTGGAGAAAACCACAAAATAACAAAGACCTGCAAATAGAAATTGAACGACATCATTTATTTGTTGAGAGAGTTGAGCTGAGTAGAGAGAAGCACTTCTTTGTGAACAGTTTAGACTAGTTGCAACAGATTACCAACCATGAAAGCGACCTGCCCCTCCCAGTTTTGCTTGATCCAGGTTTGGTGAGTCTTGACATCAGATGTCTGTGACATCAGAATGTCAGCTAAGCTGAAATGGCCAAATTAGTTTTGTACATCAGTTTGCAGTCTGCTGGACCAGTGCCTGGAGATCTTGGGATGAGTCTTCAGAATGGGGATTTGCCAGGGCAGTATTCCAAAATCCACCAAACCCTTGAAGCATGAACTAAAAGGTACTCAGTTTCTTCCCTTCTACATATGCTGTAATATTTAGAGTAGTATTTCAGCAAGCTTCTGGTCATCAAGCTTCTTTTGATTCTGTTTCCTAGCTCTAGGATGAGGAGGGTTATTAGCTTGAAACCTTCCCAATACCCAATACACAAGGAGTTTCTATAAGCTTCAGCAGAACAAATATGCAAATTCTAGTTCATTCAGTAGGGCTTGATAAAGAAAATTTTCCAGGGAATCATGCACTACATAAGGGATGTTGGTCTGTTTCCCATTTGGCTCTTCTGCCTGCCACTTGATGCTGCTGCCTCTCCAGCAGGGGTTCTTTGGCAAACTTCACATTTACATGCTCTAGTTTACAAACTATAGTAGCTGCCCATGTGTCATTTCTGATTTAAAATAAAATGGCATGGTGGAGTGTGACAGTATATTTAGGGAGAGGGCTGGATCCGAATTTCTCTGACTGGATTCAATCCAGATTTGTTAGAGAAGGACTGGGATCATTCCCAGCCATTATCACAAAGGCTGTTTTGGAATAGTCCTGTTCCATCTGCTTAATGACAGGTGAACAAAGAAGAAAATATAAAAGCCTGTAAACAGCAGGAATTCTCCCCTCCCTTGAAGCTTTTAGATCAACTTTATGGTCAACTTCTTGAAATGACACCAGAGTGCATATATTCAGACTCTTCAGAATTCTTCATTGTGTCAGAAAGCTTCTGAAATGCAGAATAGAGGAAGAAGCAACAGAGCCCTAACATTAGACTAGATATTCCCCTCTTGAGATTTGGAGTTGAAATTTAAGTCCTAATATAAGACCGGTAGGGTGAACATACTTGTCAGAGGTTAGTAAGATTTCACTTAGCATTCAGGTAAAGGAAAACTGATATATCTTGCTCAGGACCATCAACAGTAGAACACATGCCTTGCACAACCAGTATCAGCACCTTGAAGAACTGCTATTGTGGGAATATAAATTACTGGATGAGAGTGACTGACAGATTACCTTACTCTAAGGTAGCTTTATGCGCAAAAAGACATTCTGCTGGATTGTTCATTCTGACTAGCAGTATCTTAATTGTATTCAAAATCTGTAAGACCTCCTTTCTTTCTGGATAAGCTGTTAGGGGTCCCACTTTGCAAAGTGCAATTGTTGTTTGGTAGAAACTGCCTGAGTAGTGCATCCTTCCATGACTGTCTTTTCTTTTGCTGCAGAAAAGTTGAAAGACTCTATCATCATCTTTATGATAGGAGGTCCTGGCTCTGGTAAAGATGTGCAGAGTATCCGGCTAGCTAGCAAATACGACTTCTCCCATGTGGCTATTGGAGAACTGCTGCGGGAAGAAGCCAGCAGGAGTACTAGTAAGGGCAAAGCCATTAGGGAGATCCTGATGAAAGGGGCTCTGGTGCCCTCGGTAAGGCCCTACTACAGTATATCTATTCTGGGCAGAATCCATTTTTATTAAGAACATTTAAAAAAACCTGGACTAGATGTAGGCTGTGCTTTCTTCCTACTGAAATGAATACAAACGACTCATTATTAAATTAAGGGCTACTGATTTTAATGAGACTAATATAGCGTGGATTCAGTCCACTGTGTATGTTGCATTTTAAAGCTCAGTACTTTCAAGGAAGAAAAGGATTTCTGTAATAACTGACAGCATGATTATAATTACATAAGCAATATTATCTGAGCTAATATTCAGTTCATCCCTTTCACTCTCATCCTGAAGATGGAAATGTGTTTGACGTCTTCAGTGAATTTATCCGTGTATGTTAATTTCACTGTCAATTAATATGCCATTGAGATTTTATGGAGTTTCTCAGTCAATCAGGTCATGGTTATCCCAAAGGTGCTTTCCCCCCCCCCCCAAAAAGGGGAACTGGATTTTGTTTTTCCTTGAAGACATTTCGCTTCTCATCTAAACTTCTTCAGTTCTATTATTGCCATTGAGAGTTTACTTCTATTTGGATGTTAACTCAGATTATTTAGACCATTTACCATCCAACATGTCAGATTTTGAGTTAGATATAACCTCTAAAATTCAGAAGTCTGCATATTTTGTGGCAGAATTTTGGTTAGTGAAGGATGGCTGATTATCTTTTTATTTTCTTTATTTTTTTGAGATCTGTTCAGCAATAGTTATCAATAAATTTCTTTGCAGCCACCTGCTATCTTTTCTTAGTTAAGATACCAGGTGGGTCTCCCTCAGTTTTGTTATTAAATGGAAGCATTTAACATTCCAGTCTTATATAAGGACCATGACTGCGACTGAGACAATGCTGTCACAAACGGGCAAATAGGTTATAATGGCAGAAGGTTTTTAAAGGCTTCTTTTTAACTGTGGAAAGCCACACTGATGACCTATGTGCAGTTTGGTTTGAAGAATGGCAGAGCATTGTGCTGTGATTGGGTAACTTTTTATTAGATTTAAGAGGTGCAAACTTTGGAGAAATGCTACAAAGAGACATGAGCCCAGCATTGCCAGTTCTTGCTGTAATAATCACCGAACTGTAAGATGCAAGATATGACACAATCATATGTATTTAAGATCTCATTGACTTCACTCAAAAATCAAAACAGATTTTAAGACGTAGACAGTTCCATCCCCTGCAGCTGTTCAGAAAGACAATAGGCAAGTGGAACTTCTAGAATCAGAAATACATGGTTGGGTATAAAGCCATTGTGGAACAATACTGGAAATAGCTTATGGATAGCTTATGGATTTCTTGGAAAGATTTAGCTGCTTACAATGGGACTATTGCTGAAAATAAATTTCAATCAAACTTTCAGTTTTTTCCTTAAATTGTTATAATTTTGCAAAAAGGCTAACTAGAGATTTATAAGCCAGTTCTATGGTTTTTTTGGGGAGGGGGGTCATGTATGTAGGCACCCTGCAAGATGATAAGGATGTGGTTCTGTGATTATAACCACTTTGCTTCTGGTTTCCTAGGACTATACTGGAAGGAAATTGATATGAACATTGCATTTTTCAGGCAATAGCCTTTAGAGCAGTGGTTCTCAACCTGTGGGTCAGGACCCAATTTGGGGTCGAATGACCATTTCACGGGGGTCGCGAAACAAGGCTGTCCGCCATTTTTTCCCCTTTTCTTTGGCCACGCCCCTGGCACCCGGTGATGTATAAGTGGTTGGGGCTCACCACAACATGGGGAACTGTATTATGGGGTCACGGCATTAGAAAGGTTGAGAACCACTGCTTTAGAGACAACGACAGACCTTTCTCGGAATTTATTTTTAATCTTCCCTTTGCTGATTCTCAAAGTTCAAGAAAGGTGAACTCTGTTTACCATTTTGAATAAAAGGGCTGAACTTTTTTTCCCTGACTTGTTACCATAAAATTTTGGATATCAAGATAATGGATTAAACAGCCATACCTATCCTGAAAGGAAGACAGAGCAGTACGATTTGCAAAATCTTTGAGTCTTTTGAGATTCATTGCACTTTTTTCTCTAGGGCTACGTCTTAGAACTGCTGACTGACAGGATGTTAAAAGCTGAAAATTTCAAAGGATTCTTTATTGAAGGCTTTCCCCGAGAAATCAATCAAGCCAGGCTGTTTGAGGAAGTTGTAAGTACAGTCTGTGCGTGCATGCATGAAAAGATGGCTTAGTTTACAGCAGATGCAGGCAACCTGTAGCCTTTCCAGTGTTTAGACTTCAGTCTGCATCATTCCTCACTGTCGGTCATGTTTGTAGATTGAGAAACTGACACTATCTTGCCTATACCTGGCCTCATGAGATGGGTACTCTCCGTAGGATGTCGTGAATTGCAACAGGAGTCACTGGATGAGAATATGGAAGTAAATACTGGTAATATATTGGTTGGCTCAACCTAGGACTGTTCTGTTTTAACTCTAGGAAAGAACTTAAAATGGCTAATTTAGACCAAAACAAATATATGTTAGATATTAATGAAAAAGCTAAGGGTGAACCAACCAACCTGTGCCATTCCCATTGCAGGTGGGACGTTTGCCCAACATTGTTATAGTATTCGACTGTTCTACAGAGACTATGATCCAGCGGCTGATGATCAGAAGCCAGCTGGGCCAAAGAATGAATGACCATGAGAGAATTATCCGGCAACGGCTTGAGACTCACTATACACTGTGTGACCCTGTCCTCACTTACTACCTGCAGAAAAGCATACTCCGGAATGTAGGTCTCTTATCCTTTGCCCTTCCCCCCCCGATGCTGGGCAAAGAAAGCCTAGCTGCTTGGGATAGGCGGACTATGCTCAGTTTGATTCTGTTTGGGACTAAAGCAACACTTTTCAGCAAAGATGCTCTCTCTTTCCCATTAAGCCGATGATAAATATAAATGATATATAATGATAGCGGTAAAAGGGGGGAAGTATGTGACATAATTAAAATACAAAAAGTAGAAATTATATTAGGAAAATGTTTTAACATGTTGCTATCACATAGATTTGCAAGTTACTCTTACACTCACATTAAGTCACACAAATTTGTATTTGGTTGGAGTAAAGCTCACAAAATACTCCTTCCCACACACATACACAACAGAAATGAGAGAGAACATTACTTAGGGGAAACTTGGTGGGGATATTGTATTAGAAGCATTACCTAATTTACTCTTTTTAATACTGTGTATTAAAACTTGTGGTATCGTAGATATTTATCTTGTATTTTGGCTCCCTCTATTCACCAGCAGGCATTTCATAAGAATCCTAAATGTTCAAATCACATTCTATTTGTTTAACATGTTGCGTTTGAGCCAGTAAAAGAAAAGCTCTATATAGAATTCTTAAAAGTATGAAAAGAGTATTTATTTTTTCCCTTGGAATAGCTAAAATAATCTATCCAGTCTCATATTGCTGTCTTGAGAGCATAGCATTCCACATGAATATATCCCAATATCAATTAATTTCATTATTTCTTAAGCAAAAATTATCATACTATACCCTAAAAGGATATTTTAGCATAAAATGAAATATGGAAAAATGAATTGATATTGCAGGTTAACTAGCTTTTACAATTTTCATTTTATGTTTTTATTCCTCTCAAAGTCACCCAACAGCATTGACAGAAAATAGCTTCACAATAAATAAAGTGCATAAAACATTTCTTCACTGAAATCACATTTTGCATAGTAAATTAACTGTCATAAGATGAAAAAAAAAGACCATTTAGGTGTTGTTTTAATTTGGCTATAACATCTCTGGATGATCTCAGTGTTCAGAGGAACATATATATCAGTATCCCATAATGGTGAGAAGCTGTTTAATGGATTATTTCCATACTTCCCAGCAGCATCTGAATAGATAGCAGTAGTTTATTCAAGAAGAAAATTTTACTTTATTTAGGCTTGTTTAGACATCCCCATAACTGTAACCCTATGAGTTAAGGCAATCCTATTTCTAAACTTGGGTGTTATTCAAAGAGCTTAAAGAGGCTAGATTATTCTAAAAGAGGCATCTAAGAGTCCATCACTGTTTTTTGTATTTGCAGATCCTTGGGGAGGAACCCCCAGAAATAGTCTTTACCAAGTGCTGCAGTGTTGTTGATGATGTGATAAAAGCAGCTACCTCTGTGGTATAGCTATTTAGTTCTACAGAAAAATAAAAGATTTTAAGCTCTGGTCTATTAGCATGCCTTCCTCAGACCCCTCCCCCCCCTTTTAAAAAAGATCTTGATTCAGAACTGCATCAACCTCACCCAATAATCTAATAATCTGAAGCACAGAGAATGGTCCTGTCTATGACAATGTATTCAGAAATCTAGATTAAATTATATCCTGCAATCTCCAAGAAAAGCCATGTTTGCAAATGGTTTTCTGTGAGCAAAGTTAACTGCTGGCCAAAACAAGAATGAAAGATCACTTTCACAGTAAGCAATCATAGAATAAAGGGGAATTACTGTTGCAGCATATAAGCAAGCTGTGATCTACAGAGTAGTCTTAGGTCATTCTATTAATTGAGATGCTCTTTCTGAAATTCCTCAGTCAAGGATACATTCCCACTTGTTTAATTTATCTCTGGAATTAAGTTTGTACTTTCAAAGAGTATCATATCTCCAAATCATGTCTGAGGTAGCAAAATTCTAAGGTAAGACATTCTGGGAATTACTAAGCCATAAGGATTTTCAGCTGGTGATGGTACATATCAGGAACATGGATATAATTATAATTGGGCACTTTTCCAACACAACACTTTTGAACTCTAATATATACTTTTCATAGATCTAAATCACAAATGAGTATCAGCAGGAGGTATGGTGACATTTTAAAAACAACTGCATATTTACCCATCACTTCCATTAAGTTATGACTACAGATAGTCCTTGATTAATAACTATTCAGTTAACAATGGATCAAAATTATGGGTCTCAGAAGTGATTTATGTCCTGTCCCTAAAAGTTACGACTGCCACACCACCCCGAAAGTCAACTGATCGCAAGTCAGGCAATTAGCAACTGGCTCACATTTACCTGCTGCAACATCCTACAGTCATGTGATTGCAATATGTGACTTTCCCAGACATTTTCTGATAGGTTTCCAACAAACAACCTCAACTGGGGAAATCAGATTTGCTTAAAGATAGCAGTAAAAGTAATTGTAAAATCAAGTCTGGTCACATTCACTTAATGACTGTACCTCTTACTGACTGAAATTCTGGACCCAATTGTGGTTGTAAATTGGGGACCATCTGTATTGCCCATGTCAATAGATTTGTGAATGCCTTGCATCATCCTTCATACTTCCTTCCCTTTCAACTCAAAATAAAAAGTATCTTGTAGGCCTCAGTCCTTAGTTGTATATATAGTCCTTGGTCTGTTTTTAAAATCTCTCTGTAATACCAGCTCAGACTCAAAGTAATTTATCCCAGCCTGTAACAACGGGTGGAGATGGGAGGCAGCAAAGGGAGACCAAATGCTGAAGAAAATTATTCTTTAGTGGAAAGAGTACCCTCATGTATATTTCCAAATATCTTCTCAGATCCTGCAAAGCATTTTAGACCAAATTATCCAAATAGATTTAATGATGAATAATCTGCTAGGGGGTTCCAGCCATTGGTGCAAGAAGCTGGAAAATTCACTTTTATGATGTACCACTCCTATATGCTGATACCTAAGAACGAAGCTGTTTCAAAACTCTACATACGTTGAATTTCAAGATTATCACAAGTCAAATCACAGTTCAGTCTATGGAACCTCATGAAGAAATAAGCCTGCCGCTGCTCACATCAAATATCTGTTCCCACTGCCCTGGCAACATTCAAACCTTCTGGGTCCTGTTTTTGGAAACATACACAATTTGCATCAGAGACTTTAAAACAAAAAAGCATTTTATTCAACAAAAATGCACAAATGCCTGCTCAAACTATAAAAACACAGGAAGCTCTTAATTCATGACCATTATCAGGCTTTTACAACAGCTATATCGTGAACAAACATCAGCTTCAAAAAACCCTATAGACAGAGAGAGAAAGACACCACCCAGCAGACACAGGGGGATGTTTTGTTATCATTTATTTGTGAAGTTAAAAACGAGCGGTAAAAAGTAAAAATTTGAGCATATAATTGTTTGTTCCAATTTCCTCTTGAACAGACAAAAACACGATCAGTCCCAGCAGTGGAGAAAATGGAAGGGCAGGGATGGGGTTGTCTGAAACACCAACACCTTTGTCCGAGGAATGTTCCAACTCTAACTAAAAAGCAGAGTGACTTTTCCTTGTAAAGTTTATTTTTAAAACAAAACAGAAAAGAAAAAGAAGTGTTACCCTGAAAAAACTGAGGTGCGTGTCAGGCAGGATGGGATCTGGTGGAGACGGTTTTAGTCGGCTATCTTCTACGGCTGCTGGCTCAACATTAGGTTTGGAGATCTGGATTTATTTTAAGAGAGATATGAAGGCGGCATGGCCAAGATTCCCAGAAGAAACCCAGCAATCAGAGCAACAGGCCAGTTCCCTTCCCACCCTGCCACTTCCTGCAGTGGCAGTAGCAGCCACTAGCTCTCTCCAAAACAAAAGGTTCTCGGAGATGGGGTGGGTCACATTCAGCTCACTGAGCCTGTGGAAGGAGAAAACACAAAGGAGTCTGTCACCGAGAAAGGAAATAAGACAAGGTATTTACCCCACCGTTTCAGGTAGGGAACCTCATTTGCTAAAGCTCGGAGCACCCTTGAACATTATTGTACCGTATTTTCCGGCGTATAAGACGACTTTCTAAAGCGTTGAAATCGGCGCCGAAGTCGGGGGATGTCTTATACGCTGGGTCGCCTTATACGCCAGAAAATACGGTAATACAACATAACACAATACAGTAATGCGATAGAGTACTATAAACACAAACAGTAGACAATAAAACAGGCAATATATGCTTAATATTCATGCAATTCTGTCTTTTTTCTGGCTCATCATTTGGTCTCGTTCCAAATGTCACCACCATTCCATTTAGCAATCAGTTCAACAGCATGGGAACAAAATGAGCCCAGTGTCCGATAGAACTTCCTGTTCATCACCAATTCCATTGTTTATTAGGGAGTCTGTGGAATGCTTCAGTTCTCTTGTATTTCATAGAACCTTTTTTTCCCTGGCCAGTCATTGAGGCAACAGCATCTCTCATCCTGAAGAAATGCCGTGCAGAAAATGAATAAGAAAAGGCTTTCCACTTTACAGTTTTGCTCATCTTCCAATGACTTTCATAGAACACGAAATAACAATGGGAAGGGACCTTGAAGGTCTTCATGTTCCAACCCCGTTTGAGTAGGAGACCCTATACCATTCCAGACAAATCGTTGTCCAATCTCTTCTTGAAAACCTCCAGTAATGGAGAACCCATAACTTCTGATGGCAAGCCATTCCACTGATTAATTTTTCTCACTGTCAGGAAATTGCTCTTTAATTCTAGATTGGATCCTTCATCTGTTATTTCTTGTTCTGCCCTCTGGTGCTTTGGAGAATAGGTCAGACTCCTCTGTGACAGTCCTTCCAGTACTGGGAGATGGCTATCATGTCAGCCTTAGTCCTTCTCTTTGTAGACTAGGTATACCTAATTCCTTCAACTATTCCTCATACAGCTTAGCTTCCAGACTGACCTTTGTTGCACTTTTCTGCACTCTTTCTAGAGTCTCAATATCTTTTTTGTACCATGGTGGCTAGAACTGCATGCAGTATCCAAGTGTGGTCTCATCAGAGCAGTACAAAGCAGTGTTATCACTTCACTTGATCTTAATACTATCCCTCTGTTGATGAATTGGCTTTTTTGGCAGCCAGTTGCAGCACATTGCTGGACTCATACTTAAGTGGTTGTCCACTACCACATCTAGATCCCTCTTATTGTTACTGCTGTGAAGCCAGAGACCACCTATTTTATACCTGTGATTTTTTTTATTTTATTTTTTTTGCCTAAGTGTAAGACTTTCATCATGGAATTGCATTTTGTTGGATAGGACCCATAAAGTTAGTTTGAACTAACTTGAACAAAGTTCAAGTCTGTCAAGATTCTTCAGTATTCCTCCTGGCTTGGTGTTTGCAAATTTGATGAGTTACCCTTCAAGTTTTTTGTCTAACTCTAAATCATTTATGAAGCTGTTGAAAGGTACTGGGCCTAGGGTAGAATCTTGGGGTACCCCACTGCAGGTTTCCCTGCATATCAGTCTAGTTCCATTGAGGACTACATGTTGAGTGTGGCTGGTCAACCAGTTACAAAGCCATCTGGTGATGATGTTGCCTATCCCACACTTTTCTATTTTACCAAGAAGGTCCACCTTTTTCAAATGCCTTCCTGAATTCTAAGTAAACTACGACCACAGTATTTCCGTGATCCACTAATTCAGTCAAAGAATGCAATTAGATTTATCTGGGATGATCTGTTTGACAAACCCATGTTGGCTTTTAGTAATAGTTTTACTTGTTTCTAGGTCATCGCAGAACCGTTGCTTGAAGAAAGGACCTTCAACTTGACTTTTTTGCTCATCTGTCAGTGACTTTCCTTACAGAATATGCTATTGCCACTAGCCTAGCAATGGTCTGATGCACCAGAAGCATAGTCACAGAATTTAGTACTGGAGAAAAAAATTAGCATACCTGAAAGCTCCTGTTTTCTATTATGAAAATAACCATCAGGTTTTCATGGTTGCAAAAAATACATTTGTAAAACACTGATATTTTGAACAAGAGGAAGGCCAGGCTTCTTGGAACCTTTGTATCAATAGCCAGCAAGGATATACCAGTTTGATGTGCAATTTGTACAGACTACACTGGGGTGGGGTGGGGAGAGAGACAACTTATGGTTCTGATTTAACCAACATTGTATTTATTTGATTTTTATCTCACTTTTATTATTCTATAAGTGACTCAAGGTGGTGAATATATATAATACTCCTCCCTCCTCCTATTTTCCCTGTCAGAATAAACCTACGAAGTGTGTTAGGCTGAATGACTGACCCAAAGTCACCCAGCTGGCTTTCATGCCTAAAATGTGATTAGAAATCACAATCTACTGGTTTCTAACCTGGAGCCTTAGCCACTAGACCAAACAGGCTCCTTCTCATTAATATCATCCATGAGCAAATGTCAGAAACGATGCATAGGGTCACTCTTTTCCTGATGCATTGTAATATTCTTGATGGCAAGAGTATTACATCCTACTATCTTGCAGGTGCTAATAGAAAACTGGGTGCCCTGTATCACAGATGAAGCAAGAGTGCCAAAATACAAAGCTAAACTTAAAAGTATATGCATAACAAACACCCAGATGGAAGAGATTACATCACAGGAATCAGCTGCTAAATCAAGCCCCTTCTTCACTCACCTGCTGTCCCTGCTGTGTGGGGGGTGGCACTGGTCCGCCAGCACCAGGTGTCTGTCCATAATAGGCAGCTTGTTGTCTGTAGTATTCTGCCCACGCTGCACTATAGTCTGGTTGAGGTCCTGGTGGTGCTGCTGGCCCTGCCCCAGTCGCTACTTGAGCTGCTTCCAAAAAGAAAAGAGCGTCTCTAGTCTATCCCGTCCATGACTATTCGGACACTCACGCATGCGCGCACACGCACACGCACACACACCACTTTGATTCAGTGCAATTTACTCCTATATAAGAATGCACAGAGCAACAAAAAATGTTTGGCATTCCAAAGCCAATCCAATTTGCCTTAGAAAGCCTGTGGTATGTTAGCTCACCTTGCTTCTTATAATACTCCTCCCAGGCTTTTGTGTAGTCCTGCTGGGGAGGAGCTCCAGGCTGCTGGGGCTGCTGGCCTGTAGGACAACAAAGGATAACAGGACTTGGTTGCACCCGAAAAGCATTTTGACCACCCAAGAGGCCAATTCCCTCCAGAACTTTAAAAGGAGGGGGGTCTCAGTTACTGATGGCATTAGTTCCTAGCAGTCAGCCAAAAATTATAGGTGCAAGAACCAAACAGTAAAGGCTGAAGCCTTGAATGGTTTTGTTTTGTGATCAGCATTTTTTTAAATAATCCAAGAGAGCTATATTTTATCATACTTTTGGAACTATGGGAGTTATGCTCATAATTTATGAACTCATAAATAGGAGTTTTCACATGCCCAGCCAAAGACAAAAATGTTGAGGAATCAGCAGGCAAGACAGAATTATCATGAAAGATATTCCAACAAATATGGAATAAATAAAAAACGAATATTTGGGAATAAAATCAATTATGATCAAGATACCCAAATTATTAAGACCAAATTATTTTGCTTTGTTTTCTAATGTGTACTTTACCAAAACTTTGCTTGTTTCATCAGCTTAAACCCAAAGTACCCAATATCCAGAATATTGATAAAGAAAATGAAAAGGTTACTAGGTAGAGAAAAGACCTGAAGTGTTCTAAATCAAGTCATTACCTATAAGCCTAGCAATCATTCCATTAATGCTCTTTTCCAGTAAAAGAGAAGCACCTGTAGAGTTACCTAGTTTTTTATAGTACTCTTCCCATGCTTTCGTGTAGTCTGACTGTCCGCTGGGGGGCGGCTGGGGGGGCTCTCCTTGCACCGGTGGTGCAGTGGGGGCTGGTGGTGCTCCTGGAACTGGGCCAGGAGGCTGCTGGTAGTAGTGCGAGTAATATGCTGCCCAGGCAGCATTGGGGTCTGCTGCTGCTGCTGCTGCTTTATCTGGAATCAGATGACAGTCTGAATACATAACTGTAGTTTGTAATCCACTCTGATGATGACTAACAGTAGAGTTCATTAAAAAAAAATAGCAACAAATTTTAACAAAACCTTACTTGGATCATGAGGAGCTGGAGGTTGCCACTGTGGGTATGTATTTCCCCAGCCTTGAGGTGGATATTGAGGTGGTGGTGGTCCCCCAGGGCTGAAAGGGGGGAGGGGGAGAAATTGGCATAATTGATCAAATATAAGGATGTACAATAGAGATTTCTAAGTAGCAAATGGCCCAAGAAGTTACTCTAGAGAAACAGTACTACTGCTTGCAGAAACTGGAGAGCTCTCCTTCCTGCCCTATATAGTACAGGATTTCAAGCCAACTTCCCTTGCTGAATAGGGTGCTGGATCATCATTCATCCAATTTGCCTATCACTGATTAAAACAAATTGCCAGTGGCCAAGAGAGAGCCAGTCTGGCATAGTGGTGAAGTTGCTAGGTAGAGAATGAGAATTCTAGTCCTCCCTTGGGCATGAAAGCTGACTGGGGGACTCTGGGTCAACCCTTCTCCCTCAGCCCAATTCCCTTCCCTTTGTAAGGAAAATAGGCAGAAGCACTGTACGTGGTACCTTGAATTATACAAAATAAAATTAAGATAGAAATCTAGCAATACATAAACATTAAAGATAATTAAGTTTCTAGAAGGAAACTGGGAAATTACTGTTTGAGAACGTTTAGCTACAATAGCTACAATCAAGGTACTAACAATAGACCATGACAACAAAGCCATATGAAGTGGCAGCTTGTTTTTATGTTTCCGCATCAATGGTTCTTTCTATTTCTCTCTAGAGTAGGCCATGGCCAGAATGGTTTGCTGGCACAATTAGCCAAAAGCCAAATCACTTTGTGAAAACTTTGGTACAGATACCAAACATCAAAATTGGGATGCACAGTATAAACCATGCTTCTTTCCCTTAACAGCATTATTACATAACTCTTTGGATGCAATTCTTTTTTTCTCCATTCACATAATCCTTGAAAAATCCTTCAAACAGGGAAAGGGCTTTTCATGAAGGTTTTGTCAAAAGGGGTTTCCTGTTTCAGTTCACCACAGAGGCTTTTCTAGGTTCTGATGTCAGCATCTTGACTGCAGCCAAAAGACTCCCCAAACAGAAGGAAGTTGTACTTACTGAGGGGGTGCACTGGGTGGTCCTTGATTGAACGGCCCAGGGTTGAAGGGACCCATGGGTGCTGGTCCAGGAGGGCCACCAGGTCCAGGCCCTGGCCCAACTGGGCAGAGGGGACCCTAAGAAAGAAACATGTAATCTGTTAGTCAGAACTACCATATCAAATCAGATTTCTTGTGTAACTAAAGGTGGTAGTTACCTCAATCTTCTCCTCAATCAGTTGTTTGGCATGATCAATCTGTTGAGGTGAGCCACGAATAATGAATAATTTGAAATTGGGGTCTCCGTTGGGTGGTAGCTGCCGAGATATTTCTACAAAGGCTCCTGTCTGCTGGTTTATGGCCTTTACATTTTCCCCACCTAAAAAACAAAGAAAAGGTAGCAACAAGATGCTTGATGCACACCTGCTTGGGACGACTAAAGAAAACAGGAGATGCTCACCTCTGCCAATGACCAGACCACATTTGTGCGTAGGTATAGAAAAGGTCATCTCTCCTCCTGGAGGCCCCCAGTTGCCCTGTCCTCTGCCCCTACCTCTGCCTCCGGGAGGCATTCCCGAACCTGGAGGGCCTGGAGGGCCACTCTACAAGACAAGAATCCAATCAACTTGAATGACATGGGGAAAACAGAATAAAACATTGCACCTGCATTTCCAGAAGGGAGAGCTCTCACTATGTTGTCAATGTTGCATTTAAGAATTACACTAAAGGTGTTTTCCTGAATGAGAATCACCAGAGTGCTCAAACTGCCTTGAAAGGCAGCTTGATATTTCTCCTGCAGTGTATTCTGCAAAAACTGGAAACATTTTGAGTATTTCAGACATTTGAAAATATAGGAATTTGGAGTAAGTCCCTGCTCTCTCCCCTGGTCTCTACTGCTGTACTACTTAATCTGAAAACTTTTTAGAAAACAAAACAATTACAATTGGCAACACAATAATCACAACACTCAAAATGACCAAACACCTGTCTTATTCTAAAAGCAGAGCAAAACCAACATGCTTTCTCTCAAAATCACCACCAAATCTATGGATCAATACTTTGTTTTGAGCTCAAAACAGTGGTTTTGAATCAGAATACTTTGCATTATCTCGGCAATAATAAATTTCATCTTCTGATACAATTTCAGTAATGATAACACTAAGTCCATTTGGGCTTCCATTTGAAAGAATGTAATTCTATTTATATTTGTACCAACACAACTCCACCCACTTTTCAAGTAAGCCTCACTGACAGCAAGATCCCGAAACTGATCCAAAACGCCAAATATTAATTTCCACTAAAGAATTATTATTCTATGGTGCACTGTTAGTTTGTGAGACAACAAAAGCTACCTGGTATGCTGAATCAAATGAAAATGCAATGGGATAGAAATTCCATACCACAGAAAAATGAAAACCCTTGAAGTAATTATGTTTGAAAATCTGATGAGATATACCTTTCTCGGTTATATGTGACAGAATTAAAATATAATGGAAAAAACTGCTAATAACCAAGTTCAAATTAAATTCCAGAGGTTATCAAATGTACTATTGAATTTTGATTATGCTTCTTAAGATGTTTTAGTATCTCTTTAGTCAAATGTGAGTGAAAATGTCTTAAAATTGTTTTTTACTTAAACTTATAAAGTCATGAATTTCATTGAGGTGACTTGTAGGTGGCATACAAAACTTAAAACCAAATCCCCCCCAATACAAGTTATATACAAGTAGTCCTTTGGACTTAATTAAGTCCAAAATTTCTGTCGGTAAGTGAGACAGGTGTTAATTGAGTTTTGCTCCACTTTATGATCTTTCTTGTCACAGTTGCTAAGTGAATCATTACAGTTGGTAAGTTGGTAATAAGGTTGTAAAGTGAATCTGGCTTTCCCTTTAACTTTGCTTGTCAAAAGGTTGCAAAAGGTGATATGTCCCCCGGCCACTGCAACCATCATAAATATGACCCAGTTGTCAAGTGTCTGAATTTTGATCACATAATGAAGATGCTGCTATTTTAAGAAATGCCTTACTTTGAGTCTGGAAGAAGTATTATTACAGGTTAAATTACAAAATACCTATTTGGGGGATTCCTGGACATGCAATTGAGGGGATTTCTAAGGGGATGAATTTTGAAAAAAAATCGTATAAAGAATTACTTATTTGGTCAGGTACTGACTGGCAACTAAAATCTTTAGATGTATTAAGGCAAGAAAATATTTTACAGTCATGGTTTCAGTATTTACAAATAGTGGATAGGTGGACTTTAGATAAGAAAGTTGGAATAACATTAGGAGATGAAAATTTGGTAATTCAGATTAAAGATCAGAATCAGGCCCACATAAAAAGAATTTATAATGCGTTAATAGAATTGGACTCAGAAATGGATTTGGTTAAAGATTGTATGGTTAAATGGGCTCAGAATATCCAGGAACCGATCCCATTGGATTTATGGGAGATAATTTGGATTAGAAATGTTAAATTTACACAGGCTCAAAATTTAAGGGAAAATTTTTACAAAATGTTTTGGATCCTAAAAAGTTGTCTTGTATGTATCCTATTTACAGCCTAAATGTTGGAGATGCGGTAGTTCTGATGCAACTTATTTTCATGTTTGGTGGACTTGTAAAAATATTAAAGCTTTTTGGATTATGATTTGGTGGAACATTCAAAAGATTTTTAAAAGGAAGATAAAGTTTACTCCTCAACTATTTTTACTAGGGATTTTTATGGATTTTGATGTTAAAGAAACTATTTTAATGTTGAATTTAGTAACAGCAGCAAGGTTATCGGTAGGTCAATATTGGAAGAAAGATTCGTTGCCTACTATAGAAGAATGGACACAAGGTTTCTAATTTAGCAGAAATGGCAAAAATTTCTGCTTATTTAAAGGATCATACACAAGAAAAATATATTATTGTATGGAGAAGATGGATAGATTATATTCAGATTAAGTATGGAACTAAAAAGTTCCATTTATTTTACGATTAAATTTTAAATAATTATTATTAATAGCATTTTATAATGGCAATTATTTAATTTATTTACTGTTATTATGGTACTTTATAATAATTTTTTTAAAATGGATTTGTTTATAATATTATGATGTTAAAGTTTAAAGGGAGTTAAGGGTTAAGTATGAATTTGGTTACTGTATAATTTGTTAAAGTTAATTAGATTTTGTTTAATATGTTTGTAATAACCCTGTATTCGGCTCTGGGAGGTGGGGGGGGGGTAGGGGGGTGGGTGGGTTTGGGGGTTAAAATTTTTTGTTAATTGTTAATAAAACTTTTTCAATAAAAAAAAATGAAGATGCTGCAATGGTTGTTAAGTGTGGAAAATAGTCTTAAATCACTTTTTTTTCATTGCCATTATAAATTTGAATGGACACTAAACAAAAGGCTGTTAGGTCGAGGACTACCTGTATATAACTTATATATTTTAAACAATATATATGTTTTATATATATATAAATGTAACAATTTATCTACAAAATCTACAAAAGCTATAATACAGTCGCTTAATTAATTCTTTGCAATTCTTGTTTCCAAGATCAGCGCAACTAAATGGCAATTCCAGCACTCTGATGGATGAGGTAAACTCCCAAGGAATGTCATACCCGAAGACTCTGGAGAAGGTCATTGATAATCCTGGCAGCATGTTCACATCTGTCAGGTGGGCCCATGATATGGGCAATTTTTTCAGGACCTGTCCCATCATCTGAAATGACAACCAAAACAAGTTGTACATTCAACTGGAGTTTAAAAATTAGGACCCTTATCTGTGAACTGGTGTGTGTGTGTGTGTAGACACCAAACAACATTCACATTCAACAGCCATCGGTCTAATTAATGATTTCCTCCTCAGCAGCTAAAAGGCCCTCTGATTTCATGGAGAACATGTATAGTTCACAGACGCAATCAATAGAAGAAAAGTAGAGATGGGATGTATGCAATTCCAGGCAAGGAAAAACTTCTGTCCAAAATTCAGAAGACCCAATCCAAGGCAGTGAAACTACAACTTGATAGACCCAAGTTTTTACATGGGAACTTGCAAAGTTTCAGTCACAACTTCCTGAAAAACCTGGATTGTACCCAGTTTGAACAAATAATAAAATGTTTTATAGATTTTCAGCTATCTAAAATGTCTCTTAAGAGATTTTTGCCTTAAATCACAGCTGAGAAAACTACATCTCCCCCACTCAATTTTCAGAAAAGAGCATTGGGGAAAATAATTTTACACAAACAGGAACAAAAACAAATTTGAATTAGCAACAATAATGATAACCAAATAAGAATTTGTACTGAAGGAATGTGGACAGAAAAGGCACACAAGCATAAGCCTGACATTTAACCCTGCAATTTGAAATACAGGCTCTGAAGGTAACGGAGAGATTTGGGTTTCTCACCTTGCTTGAACTGGATTCGAACCCCAGCATCATTCTGTATTTTCTTAATCATCTCTCCACTCCGCCCAATGACCACACCAACAGAATGCCGGGGGACGGGGACCTGAGAAAATGAATAAACACCTTATTTACTAGGTCTATATGTTGCTAAATCTTCTCAGATTTGTGGCAATTTATAACAATAAAATTCAATTTAAAAATTAAGAGATGTACTATATATAGTGTACTATATATGTGTATGTGTATGTGTGTGTGTGTGTGTGTATATATATATATATATATATATATATATATATATATATATATATATATATATATGTAGGTCTTTGGTTGTTCGGGTTTTCTCCCACGTAAAATTGGAAGTGTCTTGGCGACGTTTCGACGAAGTCCCATTCGTCATCTTCAGGCTGGTGTTTCAGCTTCGTGCTTCGAGCAGCAATGTGTGGTCTTAGCTGTTTCTTCCTTTTAACTGCCAGTGGGGGTATGAACTGATTGGGTGGGAGCTTAGCTGTGTTCTGATTGGGTGGAGGTGTGTTCTGATTGGTTAGGGGCGTGGCTGTGCTCTGATTGGCTGGGGGGTTGGCTGTGCTCTGATTGGCTGGGGGAGTGTTATGTTTGGTTGTGCTCAGGTTAGTCTGAGTTGCAGAGGGGTTTAAGATTTTGGGCTGCCTTGCTATTTTTTGGCTTCGCGTTTGTGGTCGTGCCTCATTTTCATGGAGGGTGTCAGTTTGCTTCGTGTATGGATTGGAGGGGTTTAAAGTGGCTAATGATGCAGCTCTGGTCTGGCTTCTGGTTTGTGGTCGTGCCTCATCATCGGTGTGGCTTTGGGTTTGCTTTTTGCGTGGATGTGTGGTGGTGACATCCTGTGTGGTTTTTGTGAGTGTGGGTCTGGTATCATTTTTTGTATTAGGGAGTCGTTTGTCAATAAGGGCGGGTTTCCAAATGGCTGGTAGGCGGGAGGTATCATCTCGCTTGTTCATGCTGTGTGGGCGTTTTTCTATCTCGATGGCTTCTCTGATTATTCTGTTATTAAAATGTTCACTTTTGGCAATGGTTCTGGTATTTTTAAAGTCAATTTCATGTCCTGTGGCTTTAAGGTGTTGGACCAGGGAAGATGTTGGTTCCTCTTTTTTGACTGAGTTCTTATGTTCTTCAATGCGTGCACTTATTCTTCTGTTGGTTTGTCCGATGTATGTGGTGGGACAAGTGGTGCATGGGATTTCGTATACTCCTTGATTTTCTAATTCAATTTTATCTTTGGGGTTTCTAAGGATGGTGGATATTTTTCTGTTTGTGCAGAATGCTGTTTTGATGTTGTGTTTATGGAGGATCTTACTGATTCTGTCTGTGGTGCCTTTTATGTATGGGAGGAGGGCTTTGCCGTTTTCTTGTTCTTTGTCTTGGATTTTAGTGGGGGTTTCTTTTTGGATTAGGTTTGTAATCTTATTTCTATGGAATCCATTGGATGTTAGTACATTGGTGAGAGTGTGTAGTTCGGGTTTTAGGTGTTGTTCGTCAGCTAAGCGTTTTGTTCTGGAGATGAGTGTCTTGGCTACAGAGTTGATCTGTGCTGGGTGGTGGTGTGAGAGAGCGTGCAGATAGCGGTTTGTGTGTGTTTTCTTCTGGTAGATGGTGTGTCCTAGGGAGCCATTGGATTTCTTGTAGACTAAGACATCCAGGAAGGGAAGTTGGTTGTTAGCTTCTGTTTCCATGGTGAACTGTATTTTGGGGTGTAGGCTGTTGAGGTGTGTGAGGAAGTTGTCCAGTTTTTCTTTCCCATGTGGCCAGATTATGAAGGTGTCGTCTACGTATCTGAGCCAGAGTTTGGGTTTGTGATCCGATTTTTCTAGAGCTTGGGTTTCAAAGTGTTCCATGTAGAGGTTGGCAATGACAGGTGAGAGGGGTGATCCCATGGGTGCTCCTTCTGTTTGTTTGTATTTTTGTCCATTATAGATGAAGTATGTGTTGGATAGGCAGTGGTTGGTCAGATCTAAGATGTGTTTGGGGGGGTTATATTTGTTTTGGATAGCTGTCAAGGCTTCTTTGATAGGCACTTGGGTGAAGAGGGATATGACATCGAAGCTCACTAGTAGGTCGCTGGGCTGTAAGTTTTGTTTCTTTATGATCTCTATAAACTGGAATGAGTTTTTTACGTGTGAGGTGATGGATTCTGCATAGGGCTGTAGTTGTTTGGCGAGAAATTTGGCTAGGTTTTGTAGAGGTGAGCCTATGGAGCTGACTATAGGTCTGAGTGGGGTTCCTTCTTTGTGTATCTTGGGGAGACCATAGAGTTTGGGGCATCTGGATGATTTCTCTCTGGGAATGATTCTTTGCTGGATCTCTTCGCTAATGGGGGAGGCTTTTATTTGGATCTGGTGGTTTTTTCCAGGTAGGTGGTGGGATCTGTATTTAGGGGTTTGTATGTGGAGTCTTGGAGTAGGTTGGTTAATTTGGTTTGGTAGTCAGATGTGTTCATAACCACCGTGGCGTTGCCCTTGTCTGCTGGTAGGATTATTATGCTGGTGTCTTCTTTCAGGTTACGTAGTGCTGTCTGTTCCTCTTTGGGTAAGTTGCTTTTGGGTGGCTTGCTGGTGCAGAGGATGTTGGTGATTTCGAGTCTGATTCTGTTAGCGTCGTCGGGGTTGATTTTGGTCAGGCTGGTTTCAACTCCACATATAATGGTTTCAGTGGGGATGTGTTTGGGAGCGACTGCAAAGTTGAATCCTTTGGAAAGGACATTGGTTTCGGCTTTGGTGAGGATCCTATCTGAGATGTTATGCACTGGTCCATGTGTGGCTGTGAGGGAGGAGGGGTTTGTTTCTGACTTTAAAAATACCAGAACCATTGCCAAAAGTGAACATTTTAATAACAGAATAATCAGAGAAGCCATCGAGATAGAAAAACGCCCACACAGCATGAACAAGCGAGATGATACCTCCCGCCTACCAGCCATTTGGAAACCCGCCCTTATTGACAAACGACTCCCTAACACAAAAAATGATACCAGACCCACACTCACAAAAACCACACAGGATGTCACCACCACACATCCACGCAAAAAGCAAACCCAAAGCCACACCGATGATGAGGCACGACCACAAACCAGAAGCCAGACCACAGCTGCATCATTAACCACTTCAAAGCCCTCCAATCCATACACGAAGCAAACTGACACCCTCCATGAAAATGAGGCACGACCACAAACGCGAAGCCAAAAAATAGCAAGGCAGCCCAAAATCTTAAACCCCTCTGCAACTCAGACTAACCTGAGCACAACCAAACAGAACACTCCCCCAGCCAAGCAGAGCACAGCCAAGCCCCTAACCATTCAGAACACACCTCCACCCAATCAGAACACAGCCAAGCTCCCACCCAATCAGTTCATACCCCCACTGGCAGTTAAAAGGAAGAAACAGCTAAGACCACACATTGCTGCTCAAAGCACGAAGCTGAAAACACCCGCCTGAAGATGACGAATGGGACTTCGTCGAAACGTCGCCAAGACACTTCCAATTTTACGCGGGAGAAAACCCGAACAACCAAAGACCTACATACAAACACCCGTGAAAACCTCAGAAAACAAATATTGAACCTCTACGGGGAGGAAATCCACCATCTGACCAGGACCTATGAAAAACTTGAAGTCCAAAGAGCTTCCATTTTATGCGACATCACATTCCTACGCAACTGCCGAGATCAAAATCTAATCCCCACATGTTTCCAACTGAAATTCCACCATATCCACAATTCCACACACCAAAATCCCACAATCCAATTCCAAACTTTTTTTTTTTTTTTTCAACTCTGCAGCAACCAAAACGGATCCTGAAAAGAACAGAATTGGCCCTAATCAGAAATGAACTTCACACAAAAAGATTCCTCCTAGACCGAATTAACAAAGATCTCCTCACACTCCACCTCAAACTCAGCACCAAGATCCACCCCGCACTTTGGGACAAATCCCAACAACTCGCCGTCTGGAGAGCCGAAACACAGACCACCCTCAAGACAGATACACACACCAACAAACTCCGAAGACTACAAGAACGCCAGAAACAAACCCCTCCTCCCTCACAGCCACACATTAAACAAACAGTGCATAACATCTCAGATAGGATCCTCACCAAAGCCGAAACCAATGTCCTTTCCAAAGGATTCAACTTTGCAGTCACTCCCAAACACATCCCCACTGAAACCATTATATGTGGAGTTGAAACCAGCTTGACCAAAATCAACCCCGACGATGCTAACAGAATCAGACTCGAAATCACCAACATCCTCTGTACCAGCAAGCCACCCAAAAGCAACTTACCCAAAGAGGAACAGACAGCACTACGTAACCTGAAAGAATACACCAGCATAATAATCCTACCAGCAGACAAGGGCAACGCCACGGTGGTTATGAACACATCTGACTACCAAACCAAATTAACCAACCTACTCCAAGACTCCACATACAAACCCCTAAATACAGATCCCCCCACCTACCTGGAAAAAACCACCAGATCCAAAATAAAAGCCTCCCCCATTAGCGAAGAGATCCAGCAAAGAATCATTCCCAGAGAGAAATCTCCGATGCCCCAAACTCTATGTCTCCTTCCCCCAAGGATACACAAGGAAGAACCCCACTCTACCTATAGTCAGCTCCATAGGCTCCCTCTACAAACCTAGCAAATTTCTCGCCAAACAACTACGCCTATGCAGAGCCATCACCCACACGTTAAAAACTCATTCACTTTATAGAGATAATAAAGAAACAAAACTTACAACCCAGCGACCTACTAGTGAGCTTCGATGTCATATCCCTCTTCACCCAAGTGCCTATCAAAGAAGCCTTGACAGCTATTCAAAACAAATATAACCCCCCCAAACACATCTTAGATCTGACCAACCACTGCCTATCCAAAACATACTTCATCTATAATGGACAAAAATACAAACAAACAGAAGGAGCACCCATGGGATCACCCCTCTCACCTGTCATTGCCAACCTCTACATGGAACACTTTGAAACCCAAGCTCTAGAAAAATCGGATCACAAACCCAAACTCTGGCTCAGATACGTAGACGACACCTTCAGAATCTGGCCACATGGGAAAGAAAAACTGGACAACTTCCTCACA